CAGTTCACAAAATGAAAGAGACATACTTGGTGAGCTACATCCAAATCCAAACATAAAAGAACTCGAGATCAACGGATATAGAGGGACAAACTTTCCAAATTGGCTAGCTGATCATTCATTTTCTGAGCTGGTGGAATTGTCTCTAAGCAACTGCGAGGACTGTTATTCCTTGCCAGCATTAGGACAACTTCCTTCTTTGAAATTCCTTGCAATTCGAGGGATGCGTCGAATAACAGATGTGACTGACGAATTCTATGGTAGTTCATCCTCCAAAAAGCCTTTTAACTCTCTAGAGCGACTTGAATTTGCAGAGATGTTGGAGTGGAAGCAGTGGCACGTACTAGGGAATGGAGAGTTTCCTATACTTCAGAATCTTTCAATTAAAAATTGCCCCAAGTTGATTGGAAGGTTTCCTGAAAATCTTTGTTCTCTCACAAGTTTGACAATTTTAAATTGTCGGGAACTCAATCTGGAGATACCTATACAACTTTCAATTCTAAAAAAGTTTAAAGTTATAGGTTCTCCTAAGGTTGGACTTCTTTTTGATCATGCTGAACTGTTTTTGTCTCAACTTCAGAGNTCAACTTCAGAAGATGAAACAGATAGTTGAATTAGATATTTACAATTGTCAGTCTCTTACCTCCTTGCCTTTTAGCCGTATGCCAAATACCTTGAAGGAAATAAAGTTAAATTATTGTGGGAAATTGAAATTGGAGTCATCAGTTGGTGATGTGATTTCTGGAGGAAGTAACATGTTTCTGGAGAATTTGGAACTGGAAGGATGTGATTCTATAAATGAGATATCACCTGAGTTGGTCCCACAAGCACGCTCTTTGAAAGTAAGAAGTTGCCACAGCCTTACAAGGCTTTTGATTCCCAACGGGGCTGAAGATCTCATAATTTATGGATGTGAGAATCTTGAAATACTTTCGGTGGCTCAAACGACGTCAACTTTGGATATTAGCAACTGCGAGAAGCTGAAGTCGCTGCCAGAACATATGAAGGAACTCCTTCCATCTCTTAAGAAACTATGTTTGGATAAANTATATCTGAATAAGTGTCCAGAAATAGAGTCCTTTCCTGAAGGAGGATTGCCCTCCAATTTACAAGTCCTTCAGATCAGCGGTTGCAAGAAACTGGTGAATGGGCGAAAGGAGTGGGGTTTACAGAGACTCTCCTGTCTCACAGTGTTAAACATCATCCATGATGGTAGTGACGAAGAGATTCCTGCTGGTGAAAATTGGGAGTTGCCTTACTCTATTCGAACTCTTTGGATAAAAAATCTGAAAACATTAAGCAGCCAAGTTCTCAAAAGCCTCACCTCTCTTGAATATCTATCTACTTCTAATTTACCTCAAATTCAGTCACTGTTGGAAGAAGGGCTTCCCTCATCTCTTTCTCAGCTTAGATTATATGACCATGATGAGCTCCATTCACTATCGACCAAAGGTCTTCGACGCCTCACCTCGCTTCAACGTCTACAGATCGACTACTGCGATCAACTCAAATCTATTCCAGAATCAGTGCTGCCCTCCTCCCTCTCTGAGCTGACCATCTCGAGTTGCCGTAATCTCCAACCTCTTCCAGAATCAGTGCTGCCCTCCCTCTCTAAGCTGGAAATCTCGGATTGCCCTAAACTCCAATCTCTTCCAGTAAAAGGGATGCCCTCTTCCATCTCTAAACTAAATATTTCTTTGTGCCCATTGCTCAACCCACTCCTAGAATTTGAGAAGGGGGATTACTGGCCAAATATTGCTCATATTCCCACCATACATATCGATCGGGAATACCTGTGATGATTAAAACGAAGGTGTTCTAACAGATGTAAGTTATTCTTTTTCTTTTTTTCTTTTCAAGTAGCTTTTTATTTTTCGTTACTTCTCTTTGCTTTTCTGTTAATTCTTTTCCTTTGTTAGAAATCTTGTTGAGCAGTGTGAAGAGACTATTGCCACTATGAAACAGAGGAAGCATCTTCACTTAGGGATGAACGGTGATATGTACGTTGCAGCTACATAAATCTTTATATCTGCGCTAAAACATTGAAATGAAATTTCAAAACAGTTACTAATATGTTTGCAACTACAAAAAGTTATTATAAATAAGATTAATAATTTGCTCTAGAAAGTAATTAGCACATAAATTGCAATTCATGTATTCTTCTGAAAAACTATCTCACTCTTCATCTTACGTGTAGATTTTTAGTTCATGTTTTGCTTGAACTTTCATCTCAATAGAAATTCATGTATTCTTGTTCTTTCCCCTTTTCAGTGAGTTGAGCAAAGAGGAGGTGGTTTAGAGTAATGCACAAGTCCACTATTGAATACGAAGCTCCAATAGAATTCAAAGGTATACTCGACATAAAGTTTGTCTCCTATCTATAAAATATAGAAAATGAAAGTTGGTTCTCCTAAGCTTGGAGTTCTTTTTGATAACTGTTTATGTCCCAATTTCAGAGAATGAAGTTTTATCACTGCTGGAAAAGGGCTTCCCTCGTCTCTTTCTGAGCTAAGATTATATTTACCATGATGAGCTCCATTGGCTACCGACAGAAGATCTTAGGTGCCTTACTTCGCTTCGATGTCCAGAAATAACCTCCTGCTATTGATTCCATTATCGATTTCATACTGCAGTTGATGTTTCACATTAAAGAAAAGAAGCTGTGTAAGTATTAATTCTTATGTTGAGCATTTAGAGTTTTGCCTAAATGACGGGAAAAGACAATGTCCTCTTTGAGTATTTATTCTCTGCTGATTTTCAATCGTGCCAAGTTTTTTTGACCAGATCTTGTTGCTCTATATGGGAAGGAAAAGCTGGGCAGAGAGTTGTCAAGGATCATTCTTATGTGAAATGTCCCTCTCAATTTCATGGACACATGGTGAGGATCCGACAGTGGTGCTCTGACAGATATAAGTTATTCTTTTCTTTTTCAGTAGCTTTTATTTTTTTTTACTTCTCTACGCTTGTTTTGTTAATTCTTTTTCTTTGTTAAATCTTGTGGAGCAGTGTGGAGATTATATTACCACTATGAAACCGGGGAATCATCTTCAGGTCGCGTTAGATGAGAAAAATAGGTACTTCTCTTTTGTTTGGAAATTGAGAGTAATACTGCTCTTCATCAGTCTGAGAAGCAAATACTATGCAATGTTTGAACAACAATTAAAATGACTAGTCATTTGCTAGAATCAGTTATATCACCTAGTGCTCTTAACTACCAATTTTTCAGTTTTGTATGTATGTTGGGAAAAAATCATCTCTAGAATGGTATAATGGCAAATTAAGAACAACTTTTCTTTTTTCTTCTATTTTATCAGGATTTTGAAAACAGTATGATCAGTCACTGTGCTCTATTTTGGGAGTGATTTGGCAACGATACAATGTCGTTTTCTCTTGGAAGGCTCTTTCAGTTTTTAGCTGAAGTTTACAATTGATGGTCATATACTGCTCAAACTGCGTCTTGAAATTGAGTAAATGGAGGAGTGGCCACCGATTGCTCAATCCCACTACTCGGTTGATAATGAACTCATATAGCGAGCAAGATAAATAAGTGATTCTCGAGGAAATGGTGCCTATTAATTTTCAAGTCTTCTCTTGGCTTGTTTATTAATAGCTTGTCTTTTCTAATATTTTAAACTGCTATGCACCATTTATTTCTGTTGCAAAAATTATTAGTCCCTTCATTCCCCTATTTATACTCTCCCGTCACCCTTGTATAACATGAATGGTTGTTTTGACAGGCATTTGTAACACGATTTATCAACTTGATAGGTGAAAAAACTGAAACGATATAAAGCTTACAATTTCTGAGGTAATATTGCTTTTTCTTCAAAATTTATTTCCCATTCTATGCTTTTGTGTACAATCATTCAAGCAGTGTATGGTCCAGTTATTGCAATTCTGCGTGCTGGTACAAAATGATGATATTTGAATCTAACTTCTTTCTTTTGCAGAAGGAGAAGATGTGATGCCTGAAGTTTCAGCTCAAACCACGTCTAGAATTTGACAAGGGGGATTACTGGCCAAAAATTGCTCATATTTCCATCATAAGAGTCGATGAGAAATACCTGTAATGATTAAAACGAAGGTGTTCTAACTGATCTAAGTTAATTCTGTTTTTTTCTTTTTTTCGTTTGTTGATTCTTTCCCTTTATGAAATATTGTTGAGCAGTGTGTAGCGTCTATTGTCACTATGAAGCCGAGGAAGCATTTTTATATCAGGATGAAAGATGACAAAAAAAGGTAATATGTTGCAACTACAGAAATTTTTATCATTGTAAGAAAAGAAAAGACGTAGTATAGGCTGGAATTAATAGCAAAATGTAATCACATGGAAGATCTTACACGGAACAACATTTTGTTTGACGCTTCTACGATTAAAGATTTCTCATATCAAATTTCAATGTTGATGGGACTCAAAGATATTATCAAGGTAAGAGATTCTCCAAATAAATATTGTTATATTTATTTATTAAAACTTCTTTTGCTTTTTCATTAATTTTTTTTTATTCTTTTGGACTGTTGTGCATCATTTATTTATGTCGTGAAATTTATTTAGTCCCTTTGTTTCCCTGTTTCTGATCTCCAATTCTCCAGTCACTTTCTGATCTTCTACTTCTTTTTTCTGTCTTGCTTTTCTATCTTCAATTTTGCCTTCAATTTTAGCTTTGGACATGAAAAACACATACTATCTCTTATTCACACCAAGTTAACGAATATAAGCTCTCTCCTCGTAATTTAATACCCCTAGGTAGAAGTAATTAATGTAAAAGAAAAAGGGAAAATGAGAATCTTAGGCATGCTGACAAGCAGCTTAATATTTTTTCATTAGAGTATTATCATCTGAATAACTTTTGTATACTTCTCTATTTTCTTGTCTAGGATTTTGGCATCGGTATGAAGATTGTCTGATCAGATGTTGTTGCTTAACATGGGAAGGAAAAGCTGGGCAGAGAGTTGTCAAGATTCAGTCTTAATTATGTGAAATGCCCGTCTCAACGTCACGGACACATGGTGAATTTGTGTACTTCAGTAATTACATTGAAAATATATTGAACAAAAACTAATATAAATTTTAAAATATCTCGCATTTATTTCCTCGAGTATAGCTCATCCAATAGAAAAGTGTTCAATTCTTTGTTTGTTTATGCATATATAAAACCAAGAGTAGAAACCAAAAACCTGGCCAACCTGTAATTTGTTTGTAATTGTTGTAGTCAATGCACACTTGGTGAATTGGCCAAATCTGGTGCATATCCTCGCCCACACTCAGATCATGTCGGATCGCTGTAAAGTGGTGGCCATCTCTGTACCATCATCTGCCTTGGGACACAAGGAGAGTTGCCCTTCTCCATCACTTCAGTATGCATCTATATGTTTGCGCAAAGGCAAGACTGCCTCAGCATTTGGATTGATGATCGCCTCATCTGGTATGCCACCTAAAGTTCTATCCTCTTATTAACATAAGCTATTTTGTCAGTAAACTCGTCTGTAATATCCTTTCTATGTACTTCTCCTTGTTTGTTTACTAGTTGTTTTTTCCTGTCACATAATGTTTATTTGTTTCCCCAGCCGCTGGGTTGTTCATTCCTATACTCCTGTTCTTCGATTTCAGTCCTTTGAAGAAGCAAAAGTTCGAGTACAGTTGGTTAGATATATGCAATCTCAACATTACAATCAGGTACACTTTTGATTGTTCCCTGTAAGAAATTCACATGAAGTTTGCTCGAGTCCTCACCTTAAGGATTGATGTGGAGTGCGTGTCCTCACCTATTTGTTTCTCACCTTTGTTCCCAATTCTTCGTCTCTTGCACAAAGATAAAGGGTTCAAATAATGCAACCTCACTTTCTCAAGTTGATGCGGTTGTCAGTATTTGGATCTTTAGACAGTAATTAATACATCAGTTTTTGTTTTGAATATTCAGAGATTTGGATTGAAGATATAAACATTAAGCTGATGTTGGAGATTATGAAGTTCCTTTCAAATTCTTTCCATTACTCAACTGCGAGTGGCACCTCAGAACCAGGGGAAAGGCAAAGAAGCATATGCTACTCGGAATTGCCCTAAGTTCATGTTTCGTGTTTCAAAGTTGCTTTTCTGTTCGTTGTTCTTAAACTCCAGTCAATTCATGGAATCACAAGGAGGAGCATGAATGGTCGGAAACATGCAATCTGTATTTCACAATCAGGTACTTTTTTCCCGATTACTTTTAAGAAGATATCATCAAGCTTGGAAAGCAAAATATATGGATGAAGATCTCCAAACCTTTTTCATCACCTATTTCTTTGTTCATTTTGATCGTTGAGTTTCTAACCACCCTGCATTTGATAGGTAATACTGATGAATTTTCTCATTTTTCGAATTTCTAGAGCATAGTTGAATGGATATTAAGTTGTCACCTTCCAACTTCATTTATCTGTTTGTGTTTTTTTCCTTTCCCTTTTTGAGTCAGCCTCATGTGCCAGCTTCGAACTTGAAAATCAGCATTGATTTGCATCAGAGATTAATTTAAGGCTAGTATGATAATAGGTGTATCATGATGTCATTAAAACTATGCTACATCGCAAGTAATTGAGAAAACTTCAGTTGTTGATTAATCGTAAAACCAGTAATATCACAGATGAAATGGCAGCTTGGCTCCCTTGACATATTGAAACTTCTTCACTTGGCAGTAAGTTTAGGAATCATTTTCGTAGTCAGATAAAACCATGATTGTCGATTACTTGTCTAGAGGAATCATTCATGTATAGCTAGTTATGTTCAATACTGAATGGCTAAGTGTTTTAACATATCCTTTTCTTTTGTTTTCAGTTTGGTTTTTATGAGTTGTTGAGAAGGGAAAGCTGTTGAGATATTTAAGTTACTCTGAGATGGGACTTTCTATTAGGCCTTTCTGCTCTGGTTACGTTTGGCCAATGGAAAGCAAAAGACGACATAATTATTGGACTTTCTGTATTGAGTAATCTGAACTTCTGGACGTGAACGGTTAGAGCAAACTGTAAATGCATTGGAAAATGTACGAGAAAAGGGGGGAGATTCTGAGGAGGGAACGTTGAATGTCAATGAGAAGAGAAAGTAAAGTTTCAATGGTCTCCTCAAGTTGGCTAGTGAAAGTTGTGCAACAGGTTTGAGGGACAGTACTAACAAGCTCGGGGACTTGTTTCTGTTTCCAAAAGGACTAGTACAGTATCAATACAACTATGATTGGATTAAATCAGCTATAGCTGTTTCTGCAATTGGTAGCGCGAATGCTGAACTGTTTCACTTCCTCTACAACATTGTTTGCTACTATTGTCGATAAATCAGATTCTCGCGAAGTCATTCAAGACTGATGTTGCTACTGTTCAGAAGATCAAGGCTGGTCTCTCATCCTAGGATCTCATTTTGCTCGTCGAATTTCTAAATAAAACTTCACCTCGGAATTCAGTGCAAAAAAGATTCATATGTAATGTTTTCATTCTTTCTTAGTTGGTTGGTAATCTTATCATTATGAAATTGGCTGTTCATTTTCTATTCATTTGTCTTTACAAGTTTCCTATCAGTATGCAACTTTTAGTCTGCTGTCTAAATCCATCCAAAGAGGTTATAACAATTGATCAACTTTGTTATAATTAGTGCCCAAACAGCCACTCATTCTTATTTTTCCTTGTGTCCAACCAAAAAGAAAAAGAAAAAAAACAAAACAAGAGAAGAAAAATGGCATGACAGCAAACTACAAAAAGTAGAAAAGAATCACATTTCCCTTTTTCCTCATTAAGCTGAAAAATAGTTTCACTAAGAATCATATTACTACTCAATACACAAAAACAAAAATAAGAAAAACAGTACAATAATACTCAAATTTCAAATGCCAAAGAATCACTAGAGGAAGAGTCTCCTCTTGACCCACACCAACCCAAGAAAATAAAAAAAATAAAAACAACACACAAAAAATCATCAGTAGATTCATGTCTATCGCAGTTGAGGTGGAGGGTTCAGACCCCATCAGTAGCGCCTCATTTCCGTTCCCTTTCCAAAAAATACTTCTGCTAATTGATCCCTAAAATAAAATGAGTGACTTCTTCTTGTTGTTCACAACCCTACATGATTTCCTAATTTCTCCTTGTGTTCTAGTGAGTACTTCAACTTTACCTAATTATCAAAGTTTGAACTTCTAGGACACTTCACTCTTAATGAGAATAACATCAATTTGTTCATGGCTGGATCAGGACCACCTGTTTTCTTGTAGTTGTATAGCCTATCTTGGAAGTTTGAGCAACAGTGTGGCCACCTAATAAATATATGGTTTCTAACATATCCTTTTCTTTTGTTTTCAGTCTGGTTTTTTTGAGTTGTTAAGAAGGGAAAGTTGTAGAGATATTTAAGTTACTCTGAGAAGGGACTTTCTATTAGGCCTTTCTGCTCTGGTTACGTTTGGCCAATGGAAAGCAAAAGACGGCATAATTATTGGACTTTCTGTATTGAGTAATCTGAACTTTTGGATATTAACGGTTAGAGCAAACTGTAAATGCACTGTAAAATGTACAAGAAACGGGGAAGATTATGAGGAGAGAACGTTAAATATCAATGAGAAGAGAAAGTGAGGTTCAAATAGCCTCTTATTTTCTTTCCTCAAGTTGGACCTATACTCCGGTTGTCAATTCAGCTCCGGATTTAGGGCGGATTTATAGGGTTCAACTGAATTCATTGATTTTGGATCAAACTATCATTGTCGAGCCACTCAAATTTGATAGCTGAATAATTTTGTTAGAGATTGTAGCATGTTGCTTATATGGTGTTTCTTACTACTTAGCTTATAGATGGAAGCAATACTTCTTCGTAAGTACATGGTAAGCACATGTATGACATAAGGACAATAAGAGTTGTTGAACACATATAAACAAACATGAAAAAGATTAACAAACGAGTGTAAAGGAGTTTTTACACTAATAGGTTGTGTGAATGTTAATAGTTGTCTATACGATAACAATACTAACTATGCCTCAATTCTACACAAATTATACCTCATTAGTGTACTTTCTTTTAAGTTCGTCTCATTTTTTAAAAAAACAAATTTTATGTGTTTTTTTGTTCTTTTTAAGAGCCATAAATAACGTGAAAATTTTGAATGATGTAGAATAGGATTAGAGTAATAATCCAATTAAATAAGAGATTACAGATTTTATACGAAAAATAATAATATTATAATATAAGGAACAAACTTGTCCTCTTGTAAATAAAATTTAAGTTTATTACATAAATTAGAATAGATGGAGGTTTATATAGGAATATGATTCTAAAAGGTTAAATGCATGCATCGAATGACAAACAGAAAAATAACATAAGTTAGTTTGTAACAAAGAGAGTTATGTATTATATGAAATAGGAAAAACGCAAATATGCTAAAATGGGGGTGAGAGAGGAGCATGACTAGTAAGTAATAAAGGATTAAGATAATGTCACGCGGCAAAATCTAGTACTAATTAGTACGACATGTGCATTCAAGACCAACTATTTACAAGTGGCACATGTGAGCCATTTTTAAGTTTAGTGGCAGCATTTTCCCTAAATTAAATTCATACAAGAATCACGTGTAAAAGTACAAGGCTAGCTAAAATTCGACGAAGTAGCTCAAATAATAGAGAGATCTACATAGAAAAAGTCTTTCTCTTAGGGGTCGTTTGGTTCATTACCAGGATATTCCAAGATCATAATTCTGGGACGATAGTCAAGATTATAACCTAGATAACAATTTCACCTTCTATATGGAATAAGTTATACCAATATTTTGATACAAAAAAATAATAATAATTTTAACTATAACCTCCAATTAAACAATGGATAAATTTAAGAAACTTTTAACCTAGATATACAAAATTGGAAGCCTAATTACCACTATTAAGGACATTTGCATTTAATTACCTAACATAGCAAGATTTTCAACATAGAAAATTCTTTGATTTTATGCTCCAATCTTTTCCATTTTCTCTCTTTCTCACACATCTCTCCCCAAAAACATGCCTCCCCTAGTGACACCGGAATAACGTATTCATTATTTTTCCACCTAAAAATTCGTTATTATTTTTCCACAGAAAGAACATGTTAATTATTTTTCCAACTAGAAACTAGTCTCCCCTAATGACATCAAAGACTAAATGATTAAACCCCCTAATTTCTTTTGCAATATGAAAAAACGAACATCTCTGCCATTGCCATAGACTATTTAGTTTTATGTTGGATAAAGTTTTATCTACAACTTTACTCTTATTTTTAAAGTATATAAGAAAAGAGAAAGAGGTAACCAGTGGTTAGTGGAACTAGCAATATTATCTATTAAAACTACAAATGATGTTCCCGTTTGCTGAGTTAGAGGGTGTTGACGATTTGCTTATTGATCATCTATAATTGCTTAAGACTATTTTAATCCAGACTTTTTGCATTAAACTTAACATGATCAGCCCTATACAAATATCTAAACTGGAGATAATATTTAAAAAACGGCATAAAAATATCCCCATTTGTGCAAATATCCCCTTTCTATTTGGCTAATTGATCCAACATGGAGAAAAGGTCTTTTTAACATCAGTTTTATATGAAGCTAATCATAAATATATTTATCAATTTATCACTTATTTGATTTTTTATCTTTTTTCTTTTATTTGTTTGAAAGGACAATAAATAGTGAATAGTTTTCATTTCATCGATTGGGGTGAAGTACATGAACCCACATTCACTCAATTTCTATACTAACAACTGAGCTGAGATGCAAGCTGCTTCGTTTGGGATATCTTGGATGGTGTTTAAAATTTGTCAATTTAGAGTTAACACTATTGAATGAAACAAGAAGTTGGATCCAATGTTAATATCGTAAAGAATAAGAAAGGGAATAATAAATATATTAATTACATGTGTCGAGTAGTCCAGCTATAGGTCCTAATTAATGTAGCTACAAGGGGCATGAGGGGACTTCAAATTCTCAATTTATTCAAATATGAATATAGTTGCATGGAATGTTAGAGGAATTTGGTGTTCAATTTCACTGCGGTTTATGGTATGCATACCATACAAGATAGAAGGGGCTTATGGGAAAAACTTAGGAGTTTGCTGGGAATACAATAAGGGCCTTGGATTATTATGGGATTGTTAATGCGGACTGGATGAGCGCAATATGAAGTCCAGAGTTCAATGGTTGAAACTAGGTGACTTGAATTCAGTATGTTTTTTTACAAATATGAAGAATAGATACTCTCAAAATGGCATGAGAAGTCTAACAAATGCAGAGAGAATAACAGTTCATACAGCGCCTGAAATACTGGAGTAAGTGACAGGTTTCTACAAGACATTTCTAGGGTCAGCAGATGAGTCAATACCTGCCATTAACCCAACTATCTTGAAGGAAGGAACAATACGTAGTTACAAACAGCAGAGGATATTGATGATATGAAAGCTCTATGATGTGATGGTCTAAAGGCCTATTTCTTTAAAAAGACTTTGCCAATTATAGGAGAGGAAGTGACAGTTGCTATCCTGGAATTTTTTAACACGTCAGAAATGTTTAAACCTATCAACTGTACTATCAAAACTCTCAATGAAACGGTAACTCAAAGCTCAATTGAGCTTCAATGGTGAGAGGATTTGAACCTCTATGCCATGAGAGGTCACAGTGAGAAAGATGACGAAGGAAGGGATAGAAGAATATTCCAGAATTTTTTAATTCATTACTAAAGAAAAATAAGTGGATCCTTCACTATATACAATCGAAAGCTAAGCTAGAAAATGAGCTAATGAAAGTCGGCTAACAAACTAATTTGTACAGCTTGCATTTTTAACTAACTAATGACTCCACTAACTCCTTACTAACTAACTGATCAGCTAACTAACATACATAATTAATCTTAACACCCCCTCTGTTGCGGAAGCAGAATATATAGAGAGTGATTAAATCACAATTACTATATCTAAAGGTAGCTAATAAATAATAAATGAGACAATAATAAAATGAACACCAGAAATTAACGAGGTTCGGCAAAATTTGATTTTTGCCCAGTCCTCGGATACAATCAACTCAAAATTATTTCACTCCAAAAATACAAGTGAAATACTATAAGAGAGAAAGAGAATTCAAATGTCTTAGGAGATAAGAAGGCAAGTGAGAGATGTTTACAAATGAACAAAACCCTTGCTATTTATAGAAGGGAAATAACTTTAATAATGTCATGCATGACATCATATTAAGTGTGAACATGCAATGTAAATGCATGAAAAATGCATCTACCAATTTCTTCCTAAAAGGAGGCTTTACATTAATTGTCAAAATTCAACAAATCTCCACCTTGGCAAGATTCCACTTTTGCAATTTTCTCTTACTGATAAATTTTGATTGTGTCTTCAACTCCAATCTTCAAAGTTCAACAATGTTGATCAAGTTCAAACAATGTTGAAACTTGATCGCAGTCACTACTTTTGTTAGTATATCGGCATGGTTATCTGTAGTCCGAATTTTCTGCATCATGACTCCACCTTCTTCTATAA